TAATTCAGGTGTCTAAGGTTGCAGTATATTTTTGAAAAATGTCTTTGGGCCTATTCTGCCAATAACAATGACTGGGTAATTAATTCAAGCTGTTCCATTAAAAATAAATAAAAGACTGAACAAAAGAATATTTTCTGAAAATAATAACAGTCACACAAGCACTGTAATTGTTGTTGACATTCCTTAGTATTTGATGGGGATCTGTAACACTAATGGGAACTGGAAAGGACCCATTTAATGAAAAAGCTATCTAGACCTGTAAATGAACAACTAATTTCTCTCAGGGAATAGCTAAATGTAGTTACTAAAGTTAGACTGGGTCCTCAATAAGTAATTTTCACTGGTCTTGTTTTTCAGAGGTTCTGAGCCATTGACTTCCATTTCAGAGAATGCCTAGCCTTTCTTTTTAACCATTTTCTTTGGTTTTAAGGACCCTATAGAGGTCAGGGAAATTTCCAGAGCAAATGGAAGAGACGTATTTAACTTCTCCAGGTATTTCACAAATAAATAGACTCATCAGCATTCCAAGGGCTGTATTTTGAATGGAGTCCTCTGAAAGCAGAGTGCCACGGAGCATCAGTCCACTTAATTTAGTTCCCTGACTTCTCTTAGTATTGCTGCTTCAGTTGCTACTACTGAACACCTAGAAATATAAAATCCCTAAAATGTTAAAATAGCAGAATTTTAATTAATCATTTGCATTTTTAAATAATAAAACCAATTGTTTATATTAAATGCTTGGTAGAATATAAAGTGTGCTTTCAAAAGTTATACATTTTGAGACTTCAGCTAAAGTGCACTTTAAAAAGTTATACATTTTGAGACTGTTCAGCTATATTTGAAATAAATATATTATTGACTATTAAGAGTTCTGTTCATACTACATTAACTTTTGTTGGGTATGGTTTTATATTAAATGAAATGGTTTCCACAAAGATACATTTATGACATGAAAAAGGAATCACTTCTTTATGACACTGTGAGAATACAAATAAGTGATCTGTGAAAATACAGAAAAGTATCTTTAATCTTTACTTTTTCTTGAGTATTCTGTACAGATGAACTTGATAGAAAATATCAATGGCCAGATTCTTTATATACTTTGATCTAATAACTGCAAATTTGGCCTAATATTGCACAGGGATTTAACCATATCTGGAAACAATTTTAACCAAAGGCCAGCACTGCAAAGGCACTGTGACCACTGTTAAGTGTATTACACATAAATGTTAAAGGCTCATGTCTGTGTCTGTGTGTGTCTGTGTGACAGAGAGAGATTGAAATCACTACAAATATGATTTGAGTCTGATGTTATAGCCATGCTCATATGTCTGCATGCCCCAATAAAATCATATTGGCCGTTTTGTCCTTAGAAGACTGTTCTTTCTGTGAGCATACAGGATCTCTTAAAAATTGGATATCTTTATCATTTCCTTGGTATCCACACCTTACTCTGACAATATCATTATTTTTCTGCTAAGTCACTGAGTACACAAAACCTTGCAAGGGCCTTCTCTTCAAGAACAGATATGGAAAGGCATCCTGGTCCTAACTCAGCACGCACAAACTTCAACACTTCCCGCAGCATCCCTCAAGGGAGAGCTGGTTTGTACCCAAAAAGCATCTGCATCAAGGCTTTATTCTTGGCAGGTAGGGAGTCTCTTTCCTCCTCCATCTTCTCATTATGTTATTTGTCCACAAAATCTTGGGGGGGGGGGGGAAAAACCACTCAGTCAATGACAACAACTAAAAAGCTTCCCATGACTCAAAATTTATATGTAAGGTAAGAAAAGGTAGTTTAAAAAAACAGAAATATCTTCTTGTATTACTTCTCTTTGCAATACACTCAAAACTACTTTTGGTCCTTAAACTGAATTTGTATACTCTTAATTCCGTAAGACAAACACTTTTGATAGTTTAGCAAAATAATAATTTTTGGTAAAATAGTCTGATATTTAAAATTACATCCATTAATGATCATTCTTCACACTGGACTGCAATGCTCCTTCTACTTGGATTAGCCTTTTCCAAAACCTTCCAAAGCAAAAAAAAAAAAAAAAAAAAAAAAAGAAGAAGCAAAGGTCTTCTGAGCAGAAGGGTTTACATCTTCAAAAGGAGACTCTAGAGGTATAAAAGAGAGTGAAGCGTGAGAGAGGAACAGTGATCCTATTTCTAATTTTTTTCCCTGCATGATATATCCTCTAGCTTTTCTTTTCTATGGTTTTTTTAATCTCTCCTTTTTCAGGGTTTTACTCTTTGTTATGCTCATTCATAGAGGCGTTTGCAATATCACTGCAGTTTGAAGCTTATGAACTTCAGACAAAGTTCATAAGCTCACTCTTTTCTTGGCTGGCACAAAGCAGGAAGACTGAGAAGGGCTGTTCTCATTTGATTTGACTGATGCAGAACAGATGGGATGTAACTGTGTCTCCACACCTTTTATTAACCAGGGACTCTAAAGGAGCTCCAGAGCCTCTTGTGTGGCCACTGCGGTGCAGAATGCTCCGGTGTGACTCTCATCTCATTCCTGTGCCTGGGGTTTGTCCCACTGCATGGATGCCACCTAATGAGAGCTGTCTACCAAGATCTCCTCTGTTACAAGCCTTAGCACAACATGCCAGGCAATGGAAGTCTTGGGTGGTGCTCACAAGGCAGTGCTGGGATTATTGGTTGTGGGCATGTCTAGCAGAATATGTGCTGAATGCAAAACCCTCAAAATCATATATTACCTTCTTGACCTTTCTGGAAGTTTTAAACATGTACATTTGTTTCTTTCTAAGTTTGTGTTCCTAAGCCTGAGGGTAGGTCTTTTCTTCAGAATGAAGAAGCATGGGGCTTATATAAAAACATACTAAACACACTAATAACAATAGATGTGAAAAACAGCTCTGTGTACGCAAGAATACATTCATGGTTTAAAACTGTACATCAATTGTCATTTAAATGAGTTGAAACATGCCCCATTTGTGTCTGTCATACTGGTCCATGACAGCCATCACTGTAGTCTGCAATTCTGCCATCACTTTCATCTGCTTTAATCATTCACCTGTTTCTCAATTTTTGATCTGCTTTTTGACAATTCTTTTTTTTTCTCATAGTGCTTTAATTAGCAGTCTTGCTTCCCAGTAAATTACTTGTGACTGAATCATGCAATCCTTCACTTGATAGAAAGGACGTAAACAAAGAGAATTTTGAGCAACAGTCAAAATAGCAGCATTGGCACCATAGAATAGAAACTAACTTCAAAGATGAGATTAAAAAACCCTGTAAAATAGGCGTTTCAGGTATCATTAATTCTCTATTTGGATCCTGTATTAATAAAAGCAATTCTGTCATTCTCTGTGGAAAGCTAACATTTACCCTTAAAGGCTTTTTAAATAATCTTTTGTAATTCAGGGCTACATACTCTCAGAATTGCTAGATTGCATTGCAGGTTGGGAATGCTGCTGCAGCATTCACGTGGCACATTCTTCTGACTTGCAGCACTTAATTATGTGATAATTGAGTCCCAGAAGGTAAAATGACCAATTGAGAGTCTAGAATACAGTCACACTATTGCCACCATTGCATTACCACTAGAGCTGAATGGCCATACAGTGCAGCACAGCAACATCTAATAAAAACCTTCAGCTGCCACAAATTCTTCACATTACTGTATTTCTGTTATCTTATATGATGTTAACAAATCAAATGCATTGAAAAAAGTGTTTTCAGAGAGCTGAGCATTTTCAAGGTTTGGTACTCATTAAACATGTGTAGATATTTGGTTGTTCTCTTCACCTTCGGAATTTAATTTTCTTGAGAGTTTGGTGTGAATTACTTTCAACTTCTGTCTGGAATAAATAACTTTATGGTCTATATGATCAAATCTAATTGTGAAATGACTATTTTTAAGGATTGTGCCTGTAGTTTTGGGGGAATGTGTGAAATGTGCAAACTAAAACTTATGGAAGTAGCATATATATTATGTAGGATTTTACTGGTAAAATTCATTAACCAGTGAATTCTATAGATTAATTTTATTTCATTTAAAATTGCCAGCAGCTGGAGGGAAAAGAGTCATTTAAAAAAAACATGTTTATAGCTGAGCTCAATCATTATTTTTCAATGTCAAAAAGCACTACATAAATTAATACTGATTAAGTTATTAATTTTTGTTTTAAGTTCGTATTTGAGTGTCTTGCTGAACCAGAGAAATAAAAAATAATTTTCCAGTAAAAGCATTTTTTCAAAGTAGAAATTAGAGGGGAGGGGGTTTGTTTATTTATTTATTTACACATAATGTCTTAGTTAGTTCAAAAGGATTAGAAATAACCTCAGAGCAGTATTTGAAAATATCCAGTTGCAGATCCAATGTGATTATGGTCACAATGTGACCCAATATGTGATTACATCAAAGTTCAGAATACCTCTACTAAAGTTTTATATTAAAAAATATATATACTTTTTTTTTTAAAGGTTAAAATGCTTTTGGAGTTTGATATCTCTTTATGCTTTGTTTAGCACCAGCTGGAGAGAGCATGATGAGCATGTTTGTTTTCCAGTGACAACAAAATAACTTTCCATTAAAAGTTGTTGCTTAGAAAATAAATAAATGAATAAATAAATAAATAATAAAAGAGAAAATAAACACATTTTCCTGTGCAGCATTCAAGGTCATATATTGAAATAATCCATCTGATAGCTTAATATGTGAGTTTGAAATGAATTAAAAATAATTATGGAATCTGCCAACATATTCTCATTATACAGAGTACAATTAAAAATTAATTTCCATCATTATAAATTTTGTGAATACAGAGCAGAAAATGTGTCCTGTTTACCTGGCAAGGTCCTTTGAATACCTTTAGTAACAATGAAATATTTTGTTTGCCAGCAATGTGGGATGTCTCCAGTTATGTGTTTTTAGCATTTGCATATTGAACATCTGAGCTCAGTTAATGCATTACAGAGCTCTACCTCTTTGATGCATCATAACCTTGCATTTTCATTCCTTGCAGAAGGGAATCCATATACCTGGTGGGTTGGAAAAGCCAATGAGAAGCACTACTATTGGGGCGGATCGGGACCTGGCATTCAAAAATGTGCCTGTGGCATCGAACGCAACTGTACTGATCCCAAGTACTACTGCAACTGTGATGCTGATTATAAGCAATGGTGAGTGCTTTACAAGAGGGCAGGATGAGAATGACCAAATCTCCAAACTTTTGCAATGCTGCCATGAATTTGAATATATCTTTTTTCTATATTTCCTTTCTTACCAAAGAAAAAAGGCAAAATTATTATATTTGTGATTCCTCCTGCAAAGTGTCAGCTCATGTCTGGATTTCCATTTTATTCATGGTGTCTGTGACAGTTAAATATAAGGCCTGTATTCATGATTTCCAGCCCACTGAGCAATGGAAAAGAAGGCTAAAATTGCAAAGGCAAGTCCTCATAGGAAAGACTAGCATTTTGGTTATCCATGCAACTTTGTCTTCATAAGATTCAGTTATACTGCAATACAGAATGAATTTTATCCCTGCAACTTCATGGTTTTTTCCCAGGATTTCTCCTCTTTAAAGTGTTGCTTCTGCAGCACTTGAATGTGAGTGATATGTACTGAAATCACTCATCTAGTTCCTCCAACTCTGATTATCTGTTTTTCATGAAGAAAAATATGTTAAGAACTAGACATGTATTATGGAATGAGCCTCTGGACTTCAGAGGAAGCTACCAGGCTTTGCATGAGATATTTAATTAAGGCAGAAAAAAGAAATAAACTTGCATCTCTGATATTCCCCATAAAGATGAACAGACTGCATAAAGCTCATAATCATTTTGAGTGAGACCCTCTCTGTGGTTTACAACACTTTGTTTGTGAACCTTAATCATTTGTGTCTCTTTTCTCATGACAGGCAGGAATATATTTTACATGGTATGCAATGTTCAGTGACATATTGAAACCATACTTTCATGAACATTTCTGCCATTATTAGCAACCTGTGGGTAATTGAATCAATACTGGCTCATAAACCATTTGAGGTTAATTGAGAAATTCTACAGCTATTAATGAATGTAGAGGTACAGAACTGTAGCTGTATGTCAGAGACTAAAAAAGAAAAAAACAAAGAGAGTAGGAAGAATCGCAGAACCACAGAATCACAGAATAGCAGTGTGTGAAAGGGACCTCACAGTTCCTCTAGTTCAACACATCTGTTTAAGCAGGATTGCCTATAAACTGTTGCCCAGTACTTTGTCTGGAGAGTTTTTTGATAAATCCAAGGATGAACTCCACAGGTTCCCTGTGCGCATTGTTTCAGGACTGGGCACCACTTGAAAGAGTCTGACTCCATCTTCTTTGCACCCTCCTTTTAGTTACTTATGGACATTGATGACATCCTTCTCAACCTTCTCTTCTCCAGGCTGAACAGCCCCAGCTGCCTCAGTTTCTTTCATAGGAAAGATGTCCCAGTCCTTCTATCATCTTAGTGGTCCTTCATTGGGCTCCATCCAGCAATTCCATCTCTCTCTTGTACTGGGGACCACAGAACTGGACCCAACACTCCAAATGTGGCCTCACTGGTGCTGAGCAGGGGAGGAGGATGGCCTCCCTTGACCTGCTGTCAGAACTTTGCCTAATGCACTCCCAGGATGCCATTGGCTGCTTGGCCTCAAGTGCACACTGCTGGCTCATGCTCACCTTGGTGTCCAGCAGATTCCTTAGAGTGTTTTCTGCCAAGCTACTTCCCAGTTGGGTGGCTCCCAGCATATACTGGTGCATGGGGTTGTTTCCCCCAGGTGCAAGGCTTTACACTCTTCATTGTTGAACTTCATGACATTTCTGTGGACCCAATTCTCCAGCTTATAAAGATCCCTCTGGATAGCAGCAGAACTGTGTTTGATGTGATCTGCAAGAATGAAGTATGAACAGCACAAAAACAGAGTAAATAAAGAAAGTTTTCAGGCCTACAAAAATTGTAGATTAGGATGTGGGAAATCAAATATTGCCACAGACATTGCCACCCTGAGCTTTGACATTGTTAGGATAGTAATCTGTTAGCTATGATATAGGATGAACTACACAACACCAGAGATAGAGAGGAGTCAGTTTTAGAGACAGGGTAATCACACATGCTGCCAAACTTCAGAAATATAATTATATGGAGAGAATGAAGAATATAAAGTCAGATGACTCCAACTCAATCATAGGCACTAGAGCAGTGTGGCAGGAGGGATGTAGGTTTGGTTCTGTGTCAAAATGGTAACAATAAAAGGAGGATATTGTGATAATAATTACAATAATGGTAGAATTAGAAGCACTTACAGTTTTCATTGTCTGAGGCACTGGATGCATATCCATGAATAATAGGGCTCTGTACCATATGTTGACTTTTTTCCTTTACACCAAGGGAAATGTATGGGGAAAATGGCACTGGATTTTGATCTGTTCTTGAAGATTCCCTAAGAGTCACAGATGATAATTTAATAAGCAGCATTCACTCAATAATCTTTCTGTAACCTCTGCACCCCATATATACACTGAGATTATGTGGATTCTACTAATAAATAGATTCATATGGTTATTAGATTTAGATCTTAAATAGGCTTATTATCATTAAAGATTTACAACTGTTTACTCAGAACTTCATACAAGAATATTTAATTACATAAAATATTTCTTTAGATAAGTATCAGAATTTTTTCAGGACAACTACTATTCATTGCAGGACTTTTTATAAAAAACAATTATACCACTGGATATTATATTTTAATCTGTGGTATGTGTAAATCACAGGAAAAAATTAAAGCTATATTATAGATTTTAAGGACATTTCATTCAAGATTCATTTTTTTGGTTTGGTTTTGTCAGAATCTAGTCTTTTCCATAGTTATATCTTTTGGGTTTGGGAGTTATTTTGAGGAGTCCTAGTTAGGAATTTTATCTAGCCACGTCCATCAATACCTGAAAAGCAAGTGAGATCCAGAGGAAAGGACACCTTAATGACTTCAATCATCAAGACAGGATTTGACCCAGGCCCCCAACACATCTGTGCCCAATTCTAGTGACAGCAAAACAGCTGCTGGTTTGGACAACATATTATGCAAGGGTTTATGATGAGAAGACAAATCTCAGTTCATATATTAACAAAGCAGCTTGCTACAGCTTGCCACCATGGCTCACCAGCACAACTTATTTTAGAATGATTTAGAACCCCCTAAAAGAGAAGGGCTGAGTAAACACCAAACTGTGGCTGAGAATTCAGGTGGGACTTTTGCAGTAATTGCATATCTTGTCCACAGCTGGGAGCACAGCATTTGCTTGTGGTATGCCCACAGTGATGTTCTGCTCCTGCCCAGGCATTGTTGGAAAAATTGTTTGGGGTTTTTTGGGTGGTTGCAGGGGTAATATCCTGAGGGGAGAAGGCAGAAGCCAGAGCAATAACTATATTAGAAAAGGTAAGGAAGTAAAATAGGAAAAGAAGACTCTGTAGAAATTGTGAGAATCAAAGGTGAAGAAGAGAAGCAAGACTCAGGAGAGAGATTTTACAAGGAAATTGGGGAGCCACTGAAGAATCGGTCAGGCTGAATCAGAATGATGTAGTGTAAGTAGAATATTGTCCACTGTTTTTATTTTAGAAGTTAGAATTCATGTTAGAAATTAAGAAAGGAATTACAGCTTGATGAATGATTTCATAACAAAGGCAGGAGAATGTTTCCCTGGAGATCTGGTTTCTAACCCTGCCTCTGGAACCACATTCCTGCATGGTGCTTCCTCAGTTTCATAAACCATTTCTTCACAGAACAGTCATTAGTCTGATCCTAATTTTCTGGAAACCCAGAAGTCCACTTTGTGAAAATACCAAATATTAACAGCTGCAACCAGAATAAGGGATCACTCTCTGAATGCATCTAATGCGGTCTTTCAAAGCAAAAAAAAAAAACAAAAAAACCACCAAAAAACAACAACAAAAAAAAAACCCCACCAAACATGTAGGCATCTCAAATGCAGCACTAAGTATGAGTGTTTTTAACATTAACATATTTCAGCCTCAACACCCAATCTGTAGAATGCAAATTATGCCAGCTACTCCCTCATGGAAGTACTGCAAAGACAGGTAGATTTATGAAGTAATCATCTGCTGTTCTAATGAGCGCTATAAAAAATCCAACGAGAAAATGTGGTCTTTATAGAAAGATCTGAAATAACACAGTAGATATAAAATGGTATCCACATATTGAAGCATAAGAGTAAATTTGGAGAGTAGGCAATGTTACACTAAATGAGTGTTGTCTGCATACTATATTGAATAATGCTGAAGCCCTCCAAAATAAATAATAATCAGGGACCAGTTAAGGATTGCATCATGGTGGTAGGAACAGGGGACTAATTAAAGCTCTTTAAGCAGCCTGAAATGCCTATTTTCAAATGAAATTTTGTGTTTGGTTTTTCATTTTTTTGTTGTTTTTTGTTTTCTTTTAACCAAGTATGTAAGTAATTCTATATAAGTACAGAACCAGCTGTGTTAATTATGGACTTACTCACAATGCAAATTTTCCCAGGGATTAGTGTATACCATAGGCTTGGTAAACCTTATATCTGTATGGGTTTTCTATTAATGATTTTTTTTAATTTCACATCACATCTTGTCTATCTGAACAAAATAGTTGTGTAGAACTACTTAGCACATGCCTAATGTGTTGATTATAATGCCTGGATGGTAAATAAGCCAAATGGTAAATATTGGCAGGGAATATGAGATATGAAATTCAGATTTATGTGTATTTGCACACATAGCCTAGAATATAACCTGATTCTTTAGAAACTCATGTTGTTGCTGCAATGTAAGTATTAAGTAGTCATTTTTGTCTTGATAAAGAAACAGAAACCCAGATGGAAGAACTTCACCCTGAGTAATCCTGACAAAATTATCTTTTAGTCCCAAATTATCTATGATTTGTGTCCAAAATGAAATTAATTCAGAGTTAAATGGATCAGAATGTATAAGAAAGGTTAGATTTGCTTGCTAATAAAGATCATTTCTAAAGTGTGTGTGGTTGACATTTAAAGTCAGGTTGTCTCAATCTTGAGAGAATAAAGGTAGCTTTTATGAGTAGCAAGAAGTTCTCTGCATTGCTGCTAAATAAAATTATAATGAAATTATTAATTTTAGATA